CAGCACCTTTGGAAAAATACCTCTGCCCTTTTAGATCCCAGCACCTGGACTGAGATGTTTCAGGAAGTCAATTAGAATTAAGTGACGGCCCCAAGGCCGTGCTTCAATGAGGAAGGAAAAATCACAGTGGTAAGTCAGGAGTTCCCAGCTCCAACCCTGAGCATCCTTCAGTCACACCCCAGAAGGCAGAAGAGTCTGTGGAAAGAAAGGGAAGTGTGGAGATTTATGACAAGGGAAGCATTACAAACATCACAGTGCTCTCTTTAAGCAGTTGATCTCCAAGCCAAGGGGAAGATGAGGAACTGTATGGCTGGGCACTGCTTTTGCATGCAAGGAGACCAGTGTATATGTCTATTCCAGCAAACATGGGGTTAATTAATATAATCCATACCCCCTTCAGGTTTGGTTTAATGAAACAGAGAGTTATATGGCAGCCTGCTCCCTTGCACAACAGAATGAAAAAAAACATTCACACCAAAGCCAGAGAAACGGTGAGGCATTTTCCTAATCACTGCAGATGGGCACAGACAGAAAACTGATGTGCAGAAAGGGGGGAAAGACTGACAGAAATGAAGGGGAGGGAAATGAAGCAGTGTAAAGGAACACAAGGAGTGGGGCTGCTCACCACAGGCAAGTGGTGAAGGAGAGCCTGAAGTCTGCTGTGTGCTTGTCTGCGTGCAGAATAGGCTGAACCCTGGGGGTGGATTATGACTTGCATAAATATCCATGACTTATCCAAATGAATGGAGTGGCCTGTGCAGCTGAGCCATCATCCCAACTCCCTGTAATTAGCATGGGAACCTATTAATTTTTCCACATTACTGGGAAAAGAGATGAATACAGGTGCCTCCAACTAAGAGGCAAATTCCTATAAAGTACAGCATATTTTCAGAGTTTTCTCACCTCCAGGTGAGATACCTTCTAAGGCATCAGAGAGGTCTCCTCAGGGGCCTATACTGATTTTTCCAGCCAGTTCTGGACCTGTTCAAATCCTAGCTACCCATCACAGTAAGACTGAATGGGATGAGAGAGAGAGAGAGGCTATCCTGGGCCTTCCTTCTCCCAGGAGCACTGGAGCCAAGAATGAGAGCAGAATGAGAGTGGCACAGCGCTGTGCCACACAGCTCTGGCTCCGAGCTAGACCAAACACCTGTGCTGGTACTGACCAATTCTGATGATATTCCCCCAGAATACTGGCTGCAAAGAGCAGCCTCGTGCAGGACTCTGCTGCTGGGTGTCTCTGACAAACATCTCTGAGTGAATGCAATGCACCCTTGCAGGAATCTCCACAACGCTGGGGAAATCTGGGAGGGAATTCTGGGCAGAGGTGAAGGGTAGAAAGTGCTTCACTGGGAAAAGTTCTGCCAACGAACTCCCCTGGCAGAATTTGGTGGATTTAAGAGCAGACCCAAGAGCAGAGCTACTTTCCATGAAGAAGAACTGTCTGTGACAGCCAGCTGTCCCGGGGAGTGCCACAGGAGCAGACCCGGGCTCTAACAGGGGTGGGGTTTGTCCCACATCCTCCCCACAGCTCAGGGTTCTGTAACCACACCCTAGAGAGCTCTTGCCGGGAATTCTGATGATGCTCAACTGGCAGCAGGGGAGAGGAGGCCAGCAGGAAAGGAAGAAATCGGGCGGGGAGGGTGTGACAGGGTGTGACAGCTCGTTAAAGCAAGGAGCGTAATTGGGCTCCTCTGCAGACTGAGTGGGCTGAGCCCTGAGGGACAGATTGTATCTCGTACACAATTCCCATACCTTGCTAAAACCTGTAGGATGGAAAGGGACTCGTGTCCCTGCTCTAGAAAACAGGTGATACAGGCACAGAAGTCTGCATGATACCATCAAACCCAGTGGCTTTCACCTGCAGCTTCCAGTGCAGAGTTTCCTATTCCACACATACACATCCCAATGTCTCCCAGCAAAGACAAAGGCTGAAATAAAAGGGTCAGAAGTCACAACTGCAATGTGAATAGTAAGTTGGATGGGGATTTTGTTTGTAAGGCTCAGGGATCATCACAGAAACTGGGTATGCAGACAGTGAAATCTCTTTTTCATTTCTCCTGACAACAATCTCTGCTGACCTGGAAACACATCATCAAACAGAATCCCTGAATAAAGAAGAGATAGGGTTTTCTTACCTCCTAGATACAAGACGCTTTAGTTGTGAAGAAAATTATTTATCAGACTTCAGCTCCTTGTTTTCCTCAGCTCTTAGTTCTCCTATGAGCACCTCTTGAGTGGTGACATTTATTTGGCATGTCATTTCCCTCTGAAGCTCAGGCTGGCACAAGCTCCCTTTGCATTAAGTGCTACACAATATAATTCAGCACAAGCAACTTGCTCCTGCAGGAAGCCCTTGCCATTTGTTCACCCTTGACTGATACTTGCCAGGTAATTTCTCTACATAATCCTCCATCTATTCAATGTGTATTAGCTGTCCTTCAGAAGAAATTACTGTCTCGAATTTGAGCTGTTTTAATTGAAAAACAAAAAGATTTCATGATATTTCTGTGGCCCTGAATACACAAGATAAGTTTACAGAGTGGGATTTTCTATGGGGTTATCTCTAAGGCTCCAAACCTCAGCATCTGAGTAGCTTATTCCATCTCTGTGCCATTGATTCTGTGCCTCCTGACTTTTGTCTACCTGCAATAATCTCTTGACAGCAGAACTGGAAACAGCTTCTTGTCACTACTTAACAATTCTGTCTTAAGGCAGGCACTGGAACTCAGCATAAGGTGAATTTTATGAATAAAATGAATAAAATCCCCTCCTGTAATAGCTTTTCTGGATGTGTCCACCCCCGCCTGCTTTTCTATCAAAAAGGAAAGTTTCCCAAGTGATTTATCTTTTGCTTTCCAAGCAAAAAGTTTGATACATTTTTTCCAGTTGTAAAAAAAAAAAAAAAAAAAAAAAAAAAAGAGTAATTGTCAAGCGACTGTTCTTATTTAACTATAATAGCAGCAGAAACTGGCTGTTTGATGCTCTGGTTAGCATCCTTCTCTATTCCCTCAGGATTCTTAGATGGTCTGTGAACATCTGGATCACAAGAATACAAAAAAAACCATTATTTTCCAACAAAAAACCTCTCTTGCAATAGAGAGCTCCTATCATCAACTTCTAAGAGAGACAGACGCCTACTCACATACTTACTGAGACTTGTACTGAAATAAAATTAATCTACAGAAGGAAAGGGAACTCATCCAAAGACACTGCCCAACTTTCCCCTCTCCTGCAAAGCACAATTGATGGTGTTACTTGCAGTTCATAAGATTATTCCTATTAATTCATTAAGGCAGAGATGTGATCATCCAGGCAAAAACGCTCCAAATAAAAATAGGTTCAAACTAATAACTGTGTCAAATAAAAGAATAAATATTTCCCCATCCAGATGGCTCCCTTGACATCCAACCCATCTGATTTATTGGGGACAGGAAGTACAACTGATGGGGCAGCGTGGGAGGTCTGCCATTTCCACACTTGGCAAAATCTGGGGTTTTCACAAAGTACAACATGTCCTGTCTTGCCTGCTCCAACTTGTTCAAGGGAATTTGGGAGAACTTGGAATATATAACATGCCTAAAGAGGTCTTTTGCTGACAGCAGATGGGCTTGGGGTTAAAAAATGATCCCAACACTTCAAGAATGTCCTTTCCCATTAAAGAATTCCTGTGATACTTTCAGGAAGAACTTGCCTACATCCCTGCCCATGGAAGGAGGTACATAATGCTTCAGTGGGATTGGGCTGTAAGCTCTCTGCTACAAGGACTATCCTAATTTCATGTCTGATACTTGTCAGTGTGGTCCTTTCTCACACCTCACAGAGGAACGAGGAGTTTCTAACCAGAGAATCACACCTGGCACTCACCAGGGTGAACATTCCCAGTGTTCAGAGGCACATCCCTCCTAACCAAACCTCACACATGGGACAGCTACAAACACTGGGAGCTACCTGCTTGTCTCCTCTGCTGCCAGGCATGGTCTCCTGTCATCCTGCATCAGTTTCCCTGCCCCAAATACAAACCCCCAGCCTTGTCCATGCCAGGGCCTTGCTCCTCCAGGCTCATGACAGCCCCATGTGGGTCATCCATGCTGGTGTCCCTGCTATCAACCAGGTGCTGAAAATCTTTAAGGTCCCTTCCAAGCCAAACCATTCTATGGCTCTATTATTTGATTCAGCTCAAAACTAACACTGTGAAAGATAAAAAAGCTCCCAACGGATGAACTCTTTGCTCTGCTTTACTCCATAACTTCATGAACAAATGTGCTCAGGCTGGGACATGCTTCTGGTGGTGGTAAGGACTCACTGATCAGCAGAAGTGCTTTGGAGCAGACCCAAGTGCGTCCCTGCTCTGAGATGGACACTTCCTGACCCAAGGAGCCAGGCTTGCAAGTGACAACCAGCTTGTGCAAACTTTCACCCATGTGACCCCCACCAACTACTGACCCACCCAAGGAGCTGCTGTTTTTACTACAAGGGGCTCATATGCACCATCAGGGCCCAGGAGCCAAGCAAGTTATCACTCTTCACCTTAGCAGTGAGATATTTAAATGTTCACATTTTGCCTGTGGTATGCACAAGGTTAAACCTTTCATGTTGACCAACCTCATGTTTGCCACCTCACCTGCATAATCACACTTGCAGCCTTTACCCTCACTCGTTTTACTGAGTAAGCTCTCCCCCAGCTGCCCTCTTCTCCCTCACTTTATCCTGGAAATTTATATTGCTGTCTACAGAGCAGCATCCAAATAAATCTTGATGAGACAGTTCTTTAAGGTTGTTTTCTAATTATAAAGCTAATTTGGAAAAAAAAAACATGAGCAAAAACAACCTCAGTGGAGCACACACATTTTATTTACAGCATGAAGCATCCCAGGAAATCTCCACTGGAAACTATAAGGAGCCAAATTTGTAAAAGTAACAAAACACATCAAGTGAACACATCAGTCACCGAAATGAGAACTAAACCCCACAGACATAAAAACAAACCAGTTACTTACAGTTTTGCTGTGGTTCTGGAGGGAATTTGAGACGGATAATGGCCAAGATTATGAAAACAACCACAGGCCAGGAAATTAAAACAAACGACCATACCTATAAAACAGCAATGAAAATATATCGGTTACGTTTGTGGCATTGAAGGTACCCAGAGCCTGGCTGGAATGCACAAGCAGTGCCCTAAGTGAGTTAGGAGGTGCATTGTAAATCACACCTGTCTTGGCATGCATACAATTAAAATCCAAGCATTATCTATTGAGGAAGAAAAACTACTGAAGATTTTAAGAGGAAATAACAAGGCTGAAAGCAGCACAAGGTTTCAGGTTGGCTGGTAATTATGGGGAACTGTGTTTACCCAGCTTTGAGACACTGCTATGTCACAGTAAAGGCATGCTGGGAAGCAGAAGATAAAGCAGCTGCAGTGTGAAAGCTTGGTTTCACTTTCAGTGAAATGATGGGTAAATACAACTTCAATTGACCTGTACCCCAAAATTAAAGTGTTTGGAAAGCCTACAGCAGTTTTCCCAAAAAGATTTAGCTGTTTTTCACAACCAGTGGACTCTCGTGGTAGAGAGAAGAATCCTTGGAAGAAAGGATTTTCACAGTGGTCATTCACAAGATGTGGAGCCCAAGCATGGTAGAGGAAGGGGTTTATGGAGTTGTGCAACCAGCAAACAGAATGCACATCTGAACACCCATCATCAAGAAAAAACCCTTGTAAGAACTTCCGACCCCAGCAGCCCAAATCCCTGGCACATTTCCATCTCCAGACTGTGGCAGTGTGTACACATGAGCTGAGATGATTCCCAGAATGGTTTTGGTTAAAGGGACTTTAAAGCTGATAGAGAAGAATCCTTGGAAGAAAGGATTTTCACAGTGGTCATTCACAAGATGTGGAGCCCAAGCATGGTAGAGGAAGGGGTTTATGGAGTTGTGCAACCAGCAAACAGAATGCACATCTGAACACCCATCATCAAGAAAAAACCCTTGTAAGAACTTCCGACCCCAGCAGCCCAAATCCCTGGCACATTTCCATCTCCAGACTGTGGCAGTGTGTACACATGAGCTGAGATGATTCCCAGAATGGTTTTGGTTAAAGGGACTTTAAAGTTGATACAGTCCTACACCCTGCCATGGGCAGGGACACCTTTCACTATCCCAGAGTACCCCAAACCCATCCAACCTGCCACTGGACACTTCCAGGGATCCAGGGACAGCCACAGCTTCTCTGGGCAACCTCTGCCAGTGCCTCACCTCCCTCACATGGAGGAATTTCTTCCACATAAGAAGAAATTCCACTTAAGGTGGAAGAGAAATAATGCAACATTGCCCTAATGTGTTGGAAAACACATGAATATGTACAGAACTCTTGCCTCTGACATGAGGGTTGCCCCTTTCAATGGACAAGAATTAAGAAAACACTAGAATGAATCATCTAGTGTAGTAAACCAATCTAGGGAGGATGCCCAAAATCTTAAAATACAAGCCTTGGTGTTTTGTGAGCTAGGAAATTGTAATTATTCAAATAATCCCTTGCTTTTGCACTAGCTGGTGAGTTGGCTCCCATGTTTACTAGATTAAGAGTTTTCCATCCATCAGTAGTTAAACTGAAACTCCTCTGTGCTACAAAATTGCTGTTCTACCTTCATGCCAATTTTTGGAACTGCAAAGATGTCTTTCTTCAAAATAATCCCATTTCTCATCGTTGTGTTGCTATTTTTTTTTTTTTCAGATCAGCACATATTACCCAAAGCTGTTTCCCAAAGTAATTCCAAGCCTATAACCGTGTTTTCATTTCCTGTAACACTCACTGGAACATAAAACCAAACAGACAGACAAACAAATCCTGGAGAGCAACTCAGCTTAAAGATGGTTGTTCTACAGCAACTCCGTCCTATCGCCCCTGATGAGGTGACTCAGGCTTGAAAGTAGCAGCAAATTCATGCCCCAAAATAGGTAAGTGACAGGCATCAAACCACAAGGCACCTCCCCACACACCCCTTTAGAGGTGCTCCTATAATTTTAGCATTCAGTCACTTTTTAGCTTAGACAGACATTACCCTTCCTGCTTTTTATGTATACACTGCCAACCTGTAACAAGATCCATCACTGGCACTGACATATTTTAGTAATTTTTTATATCAGATGCTTTCCCTATAATCAGTCCCCAAACAGGCAGTTTAACTGTGATTAATTCTCATGCAAATGGTATTATTAATGTGTCCTCCTTGTTTAGCACCACACAGGCTAAAGTAAAATTATGGGGTAACAGCACAGAAACTGATATTAGTCAGAAGCTGCCTAAAGGAAGGGCTGGACATCTGTCACATTCCTGGGACAATAAATGAATACTGATTGCTCCTACTCAGGAAAATCATTGTCCCTCCCCATTTTAAGCTTACACTCCCCACTTTCCAGACATGTCTTCTCTCAGTATCTCTGTCCTGTGACTTAATTGGATTTAATAGTAGCTGGGCACATCAGTTGCAACATCACAGCATTCCCACTGTCCCAGGCTTTTCTAATAAACAAAAACAAGACAAGCACCCTGGCCAAACTGTTTGCAGGTGGAACGTGTTGACTCGAATGGAACCACAACCAACCTCAATCTGGCTCTTGAGACACTAAGAACTGTGGTGTAAATTGCATAATCTCTTAGTTGCTGGATTATTTCACTACTAAAAATTGATTTAATCTCTCAGAGCTGATTTAGGATCTCTGGGTGAGTGCACATTTTCTCTCCCCTTCCTGCTTCTGTTTAAATAATGAAGTGCAAGACACAAGAGGCACCAATATCTCCAGTTTCCTTTGGCACTCAGGCCCAACTTTGCTCCCATAAAGATCTGAGTTTACCTCCTCACACCCTCCTCAGCCTGAGCAAGCTTCCTAATTTGGAGCAAGAGAGGGAAATTAAGGAGGGTTGCAAGGCATGCCTGCCACAAAATAGTCAGCAGCGACCAGATTTTTATTTTAATTGACATTTCAGTTCTACAGAGTTGATATTTCAACTCCACAGGAAACCAGAATTACAGCAAGTCAGACTGTGGTCAGAAGCACAGGCAGGGCTTAGGTGGCATTTACTCAGGCTACACAAGAGCTAAAAGGGACCCAAGCCTCTGCTTTTAACGAGGCTGTTACAATTTCTCTTGAGAAATTAGAGGCAATTTATGGGGATTCTTCTGCATCTCAGGAAAAGTGAATTTAGCAGCAGTGAAGAAGGCTCTGAGGCACACAGCATACCCACAGGAGTCAGAGGCACCCAGCTTGTCCCTGAATCAGGCTCCACAACCAGGAGATAGGGCAGGGTAGGCTGGACAGACCTTGCAGAAGCACACAGTCATACAAGGCTTTTCACTTCATCCTCCATCACACGCTCCATGGACATCTCTCTTTGGCCAGCACTTCCTGTGCCTGCCAAGCTTTCCATTCCACCAAGGCAAGTTGAAACTCCACCACATTTGGGTTTCTGGAGCACAGGTTATGGTGCAGCCCCCTGAACTGCCCAGGCTTTTGCTGAAAATACCACACAGAGCTGGACCAAAACTGGCCTGGGACAAAACTACTCTGCCTGGCCATGCAATGCCTCCCAAAGGAACATTTGCTCCCTGATGCTGCTGCAGCTCAGATCCCTCTCTGGACATTGCTGGCAATGGTTTATCTTTCAGGCAGAAAGGTCATTGGGGTGTTTGATTTGCAGCACACCGGACTGCACTGGAAATCTGTCCTACCTGCATCTCTCAGAGCTACTTCTTTACAAATGGCTCTGTGTAAGGGCAGCCCCATCACCCCCAAATCCCAGGGGCTCCTCAGAGGCTGTGAACCAGGCACAGGGGCTGCTCACATGGCAGCAGGTACAGAACTGCAGCCCTAACTCAGGTCTGCCCACGAGTCTGTGCATGGTTTTGTCTGCACAGATATTGTCCCAAGGGAACAAGAGAGGCATCCACGGTGCTCAGTCTGGACTCCTGACTTCACACAAGACCCACCTTCACTTCTGTGCCATTCCCTTCCTTCCTTCTGCTGCTACCACCAGCCTCCCAATCTAACAGCACAACTCTGCAACACTGCAACTCTGCAGTGCCCCCCTTGCTCCTCAGCTCCTGGTGTTTCCAGGATCCCCCTCCTGCACTCCTCTGTCCCCACACTCACCAGCTGCCTCTTGACACTCAGCCAGTTCTTCCAGAGCAGGATCCTGAGGTGCTGGGAGAGTGCAGCCATCCTTGCCGAGAGCGAGGGGGCTGCGTGTTCCTCCTCCCCGCGCTTAGGAGGCAAAAGTGGAGGCTCTAACCCAAAAGGGCAACCAGTGTCCAAAATCCAGGCCTCTGCCTCTTCCCCACAGCATAGCTCTGAAGCAGCTACTCCATCCACTTGTGGCTGCTGTACTCCCAGGAACTGTGGCTCTTGTCCTCACAGCAATAGCTCCTAGCAAATTCAACAGGTTCTTCCTCTCCGGGCGGGCGGGCAGATGCAGCAGCCTGCCTCCACTTGTGTTAATTACAATATCCAGCCTCTCCTGGATGCTCCCTGTCCAAGCCCTCAGCGATAAAATGGATAGCATTCCAAAAAGATGCTTCTGCTTAAACAAAAGGTGATGCACGCCTCCTCCTCCCCATGATGAAACTCCCTGTCTGCCCACACACGGCTTCTGCTGGAGAGGTGTCATCAGCAGCAGAGTTAGGCCACTTGCCAGGCCAGTCTGACTTCCCTGGGTTCACAGGCAATGCCTGGGAAGAAAGCATCCACTGCCACAGCATGCATCTCAGGGACTGATCCAACTGCCTGGCTTCCTGCATCTTCCCTTTCCTCCAGGAAATCAAGTCCTGGAGTTCTCACTGACTGGTTTCCATGAAACACACCAAGTCCCCTGAGAACAGGTCAGATTTCACAAGATTTCAGAGCGCTAGTGTGGCTTAAATACTCATTATTCAACTAATCATTGAATTTCCCAAGCTAGTGGTGCCTAAAAATATTGAGAGGAAAGACAAAAGGCAGGTACAGTGGAAAGCAATGACAGCACAGGGAACTGCTCATTGCACAAAAGGACCAGCATAAATCTGAAATATGGATTTGTCTGCTGGGCTCTGGTCAGCTGGAAGAGCTCTGGTCCCCCTCAGGTGTCTGCTAACACCAAGACCATCCTTGAAGCACTTGGCAAGCAATGGAAAACATCATTGTTCTCAGCATATTCCACAAAAGACATCCAAAAACATTCCTGTACATGGCATTTCTTTCAGACACAAACTTCAGGCCTCAAAAATGAAAACCATCTTGAAGAAGTCCTTGCCAAACTCCACTCAGGGACCAGAGTGGAGATGGCACCAGAAGAGTTTTGATCCAAGGGTTGCTGAAAGCACTGAAAAAGACATCCAAAAACATTCCTGTACATGGCATTTCTTTCAGACACAAACTAACTTCAGGCCTCAAAAATGAAAACCATTTTGAAGGAGTCCTTGCCAAACTCCACCCAGGGACCAGAGTGGAGATGGCAGCAGAGGAATTTTGATCCAAGGATTGTTGAAAGCACTGAGAGAGAGATGTGGTACTTGGTGAAGGGAAACAGCTTCTCTGGATTGGTGAGGAAGCACTGCAAAGGTGGGAATGGCAACAGATCCAGAACAGTCCCTGCCCCACATACCTTCAGCCTAAATAGATTGGACATTCCAACAGTGGGAGTGAAGCTGGAGCTAAAATTAACCTAAAAAGCTTCCCTGGTATAGTTTTAATAGCAATGGGAAGAAACCTAAATGTCTAACCTTCCAGCTCTACATTCCCTTTTTATTTCTCTACCAAATATCCTTAGGAGGGAGAGGGATCTCATTTGGGTCTGGGAGTTGAGCACAAGCACTGCTCCTTGGGACACTGCTCTAGTTCAGCTCCACATAGGAGGCACAGCCAGATTCACTGCATTTGGTCCAAAGACGATTTGCAAACTTCATTCACTTCCTCTCTGGGGCTGAAAAAAGAAATCCAAATATAGATAATTCTGCTCTGAGGGGGTAAAGAGAGAAGAAATTTATAATTTCACCATTCACTGCCTTGCCAAGGTCTTCTAAGGCAAGTGTCTGATTGCTTCTTTTTGGTATTCAGTCAAACAACTGTTTCAAAAGAGCACTATGATTTGGATAATAATTTTCCCAAGCAAATGCACATCCTTACTTCCTTTGTGAACTGAGTCAACAAACATTCCCCTTGGGAAGTACCCAAAGGATAATTTGTTCAAGATCATCACTGTAAAATCAGAATAACTCAATGTCAGTTGGCTCTCAGAGCACCTGCATTCAACTCCCCAAACACCACAGCATTCCCATTCCAGAAGACAGGATGAGGACTTTATTAAACCCTTATACTCTTCTGCTTTTTAATTCCTGTGCTTAATAATTCCTGCAGATGGCACAGGAGGCTGTGGACAAAGTGACCAGAGCAGGAACATGTCGCACTGTGCCAACAGCCAGAGGGGAAAAGGAGGGAAAGGCCAAATTCTTCCCCCTCCTAATACATCCACAGTTGGTTTATTCCTCTGGTTGAACAACCAGGGCTCTTCTGGGCTGAAGGGCAAACCCACTGAGGGGTGGTTCACATCACTGAGAAGAAAAGCAGCATCTGTTTCTGTGCCCATGGAGCTGAAGAAGCTCTCAGGGGAGCTCTGAAATTTTATCCAATGCAAATGATTAGAGCCATGATTCATCCCCTGTACTGCAGCTCACATCACCCTGCAGGGGCTGCAGCTTCCAGGGCAGGAAGACTCACTCCACAGAGCCAGAGCCCACCAACAGACCTTTCCTTGGGGATGCTCTTTCAAATAAAAGAGTTTTTATTTCAGCAGCAATTAATGCATTTGTGCTTCCCAAGTGTGCCCAGCTACCTCTATGAGAAATAAAAACTGAGGCAAGTGATGCAAGACAGAATAAAGCCCATGAGTGAATGATCTGCCAGAGTGCTGGAAACATTCTTGCAGCACATGTCCTTCCCACTGAGGGGTGGTTCACATCACTGAGAAGAAAAGCAGCATCTGTTTCTGTGCCCATGGAGCTGAAGAAGCTCTCAGGGGAGAACTGTGATTTTATCCAATGCAAATGATTAGAGCCATGATTCATCCCCTGTACTGCAGCTCACATCACCCTGCAGGGGCTGCAGCTTCCAGGGCAGGAAGACTCACTCCACAGAGCCAGAGCCCACCAACAGACCTTTCCTTGGGGATGCTCTTTCAAATAAAAGTTTTTATTTCAGCAGCAAGGAATGCATTTGTGCTTCCCAAGTGTGCCCAGCTACCTCTATGAGAAATAAAAACTGAGGCAAGTGATGCAAGACAGAATAAAGCCCATGAGTGAATGATCTGCCAGAGTGCTGGAAACATTCTTGCAGGACATGTCCTTACTGGTCCAATGTGCCAGGGCTGGCAGCAGTGAGTGCCACAGGCATGGCAGGGATCCATGAACAGAGCAAACTGCTGTGCAGGAGCTGCTGCACAGGCTCAGTCAGGGGGTGCTGGGGGCTCTCTCCAGCCCTAACACAGTGGGGGAATGGGAAGAAATGGCCACACTTATCAGTCATATTTCACTGGTTTCCTGGCCAAAATGACAGGTCCACACAGCAGCACCACAAAATGCAGCTGTCTGCTCATGAACACTCCTGGCTTGGCTTGGAAACACAAGGGGATCAAACCTGACAGGGCAGAATATCTACCTACCCCCTTGGAGTCAGTGCCAGTGTCTATCCCTGGAAGTGTTGAAAAATACATGTGGATGTGGCATTTGGGGACATGGTTCTGAGGCGTACACAGGGGTGGGTGCATAGATGTTTGGGCTTTGAGGTCTTTTCCAACCTCACCAATTCCATGATTCCAGCATCACATGCCCTTGCAGCACCAAGGAAGGTAACATATAACCAAGTATAACCAATTTAAAGCCCTGTCTCCCTCACAGGTGGAGCAGCAGTTGCCTGAGGACTTGCCAGCATTGGCCAACACAGTGCACAGCACTGGATGATGCTGCAGTGGTGTAAAACAAACTGAAACACCACTTGAGAAATGGTAAAAAAAGGCTTTTGTTGAGCAGCCCATGGCACTGCCCAGGAGAGGCTGCCCATACTCGCTGGGAATTGCTCCTGGTTCCTTCTAACAGCATGGCAGGAGCCTGGAAATGCAAATTCCAACACATTTCCTGGGTGCCTAAAATCAGGCACAAGACACGGTTTTGAGAGATGCTCACTCAGCATAAAAACATCCAGAACACTCCAAAAAACGACAATGGGCAGCACTATTTTTAGTCACTATAAAACTGCAGGTGATATGGCACCACCACAGTACCACTCTGCCACCAAATACATTTCCACTACTTCTTGGTGATTTTTCCCCCCCCTATTAACATGCATTTGCAAAGCAGCCCCTCCTGGAAGCAGTTTTCCCTCAAGTGGTCTGTCACTGTCATCAATACAAGGATTATACCACACAGGACCTGCCCCAAAGAGGTCAAGGAGAACTGTGCAGCTGATTTTTGGCTCAAAGTTCTTGGATATTAACTCCTTATTCCTGCAAGGCAGCCTTGTTTCCAGGAACAAGCCCCCAGGCCAGGCAGAGCTTTGAGATTCTCTGATAGCAGAGCAGATGAGCATGAAAATAAATTTTATTTTAGCCTAAATCCAAGCTTCCTGCAAATGAATTAGCGGCATGACAAGCTGAAACATTTGGGACAGGATTTGCAGAAGAGCTCACCATTGGGGTTTTCCCTCTTATGTCAACAATGCTTTGCTGGAGCAGATTTAGGAAAAGGCAGGGAAATGCAATTTTTGGTTTTAAAGCCACGGTGCCTCTGTTCAGGAGTGCCCTGTTCCCAGCCAGTCTTTAACCCTACTCCTCTGCTCCCAAGGTCACCTTCAGCCACATCTGGTCCTAGCAAACCTACAGGGGCATGAATCATTTCCCACCCCACCCAGCACTGAGGGCTGGATTTGTGAGGCTCCCACATGCACACCTACCTTGCCACAGGGCTGCTTGCAGGCTCCACACTCCCCCTCTTCCAGTGGTTGCAAACTCCTGTGATCCCATCGACACGCAACACTGGATCAGGATTAGAAGTTAGTCAGCAAAGACTTGTGGGCACAAAATGAGCAGAGAAAGGCAGCAGCTGCTGGGAGGTCCTGGCAGGCACCAACAACTCCAGTTTAGTCTCTCCCTGGTACAGCAGAAGGCCACCAGTAGAGCCACCCCCCACTCTGAGGATGTACAGTTCTTCAGAGGATGCAGTACAGCCACTAACTTGGGGTTTGCTGTGCTCACACAGTTATAGGTGAGGCCTGATTCATTAAAACCCTTTCTCAAAAGCCTTACTCTTGGGGCCAGGGCCCAACTCCCAGTCTACACAAACCCACTGAATCCCAAGGCTGGAGCAAGTGGGCGATATGGGAGTTTCATTAGGATGTCCTTTAGCCCTTCCTTCAGGCCTTTAACAATGTTAAACCCAGATCTGATGCCAACAAGAGATGGCTACCAGTGTCCAAATCCTGACATTTCTCATTTATCATTCTTTGTGCTTTCAGCTGGTTTCCAATCTGCCAGCAATGCTCCTGTCCCATCACGTGAGCCTGGACAGCTGACAGATGGACTAATTAGGGATCACACTATTCATGGCAAGGCTGATAACAAGGTCAAAGCAATGTCACTGTGAAAAAAAGGTTTGACTTTGCAAAGAACAATTGGTATTTCCAAGGCTGAGCACCACTTGTGCTTTCCAAACCAAAGTGTCAGCAAAGCTGCCCAAAAAAACTCCAACAAAACAGCTTCCAAGAGGCCTAGGAACAGACTGTAAGGATAAAGAAACATAGAAGAAGGATGTGCTTGGGACAACAGCTGTATCATGGGTGGGCTGTTCTGTATGCAATGGAAAGATTAAAATAGTATCAAATTAAAAATTAACAATATTTGAACATCAAAGGAAGTTAAATCCTCAATCATGCAGATTTAGTAAAGGCTTTTTTCTATGTTCCATAATGCAGTGGTTTGACCAAGATACATAATCATACAAAAAACAGGAAAAATAATGTTTTTAAATTATATTATGGGATAATAAATCACCTACTTAAAGGCTTGCTCAGATTTAGCAACTGAGTTGTGAGCAATGTTTGTTCCCTCCATAGCTGGAGTGCACTCACACATGTTCCTTCCCACATGGACTCTCTAAAACAAGGACAGGACTTCCAGCCCAGGCACTTACCATATTCTTTCTCTACTACCTGGTTGCACATTTCAGAGAATAACCTACAGATCATTTCTGTGGGATTTATCCACCAACAGGCTTGGAAGCTGTGGGGAAGGGCTGACAGGCAACCCCACAAGCTCAATGTCTAGGAGCAAACAGCAATCTCAGAGCACAGTCTAAGGACACAGAGCCACCACACTCCTGCCTGATAGGTTTCTAGGGTGACTACCCATCTCCAAGTCACCTGGGTGTTATTACAAAATCAGCTAATTAAAACCACACCCTGGGATCTAAACGAGCATAGGGAGTGCTGATGAGTAATGACAAGTTACACAAGGCCTGTCAGCCTCCTGGAGCTGGGAACTTGCTTGCTGTAGAGAAAAATAGGTGTTGTAATAATCCCTCACAAGCACCGCAGTGATGCAGGAGCACAGAAGGGCTTGCTTACCTGCAGAATATTTCTGAGAGCTCCTACATTACTACCAAAGGAAAGGTTAAAGATCTCTTAGGCCATTGATAAAAGGCAGCTGTCCCAAAAGAGGGTTTGATTCTCTGACTCCCAGGGTGGAGATGGGCAATCTCCACTGGATGGGCAAGGCAGGTGGCTCTGCAATCAGCCTGGGAGAGAGTGCTCACCCTCCTTTCCCTCGTGACTGTAGCAGCAGGCACCCTTCCTGGGAGGAATCAGTCCTTTGGGAGGTGCAGTGCACAGGGAAGGGCTCATCAGAAGGCATGCCCTGAGTTTATGGCCTGCACGTCAAAGCCCGTGTGTGCCTGAGCACAGGACACATGGGCTGGTCCTTGGAGAGCTGGGGAGCAGCTGTGGGACATGTGCTGGGAGAGGCAGCACCTTGGGAGGGGCTGGAAGATGTGCTGCCACCCACCTGGGCCTCACCTGCACACCCTGAGTCTGCAGTTCCCCTCTCCCTGCCACCTGCACGCCCTCACTGGGACTTCCATGATGTGTCCTTACCTTGGGAGGTGTCCTGGGAGATGCACATCCCTGGGTGCCCAAGCAGACAGAGCCCACTCTAGATTTACACCTCAGAGGGCTGACTTATGCTGTAGTTTCACTTTTCAAACAGAAATGAAATCTTGAGTTGATATTGGGACTTTGCTGTCACATGGAAGTTATCCTGGGCATGGAGCAGAGAAAGAGGAGAAATCAAACTCCAGTACTGCTGGATGGATTTGCACAGCCAGTCCAGCAGCTTCTGGATAGCCACAGATGGTCAATCACACCCAAACCAAGCCATGCTTGGTGGGCACAGAGTGATGCACCACGCAGGACCTCCTCAGCAGGTCAGACAGGTCCTGTTTGTGCTGGTCCCACTCCATGTGCACTGTAAAGCTGAAAGGCAAGTTGTCTACAGCCACACCTCCAGGACCTCTGGATGTCTGGCAGACCCCTCTGACTATTAGCAAGGTTTTTTGGTCACTGTATTCTGGACTCCTTGGTCTGAAGTCCAAGATATCCCAAATAGCTTCCTGGGTTTTGCAGCTTTGGGCCAGAATTCCCCTCACTGCCAATCTGGATGTCTGAAAATCTCCAAAAAGTGACGTTGTTTTTAACCTCTTGGTTTCTTTTCCTTGCCCTCCAAAAATTTCTATCCAGAAAAACTTTTACAATATAAAAGCTCCTTATAAAATACCCTTCAAACCCATGCCAAAGGATGAGTGTCCTTTTGGATGCCATTACCACAATCAGAAATGTAAGCAGCAGGACCAGTGATAAGAGGGGAGCACAGGACAGACATTGTGCCCCTGGGTAAAGATGAACACCTTTGGGCAGGAAGTTACAGTCTGTTTTCAAAGGGCCCCAAAGAGCTTTATTATTTAGGGATAGCATCATTATTTAGAGTCCAAAGGTCTGCCCATTTTCTCCAGCTTGTTTCAACAAAGATCAAAGGAAGATTCACCAGTGTCTTCCTCTGCATTGCCAGAAGGTAGAGGTAACTACCTTAGCAGTAATTGGGGCTCTTTACAGTCAAAATGCTTCTAAAAAACCTTTTCTAATTATTTAATAATGAGACACTTGATGATGCACTGGAAGCAACATTCATTCAGCCTCCAAGAAAACAGAAGCAGCATCAGATGTCTGCTTGAGGAAAAAATGCCATGGAAGAGGGTGCCCTCTGTAGACACTAATCCATGTAAAACTCTGGGAAGGAGCTAACTGAAGCCTGCCTTTGCAAAGTTGATTCCAAGTCAGACTGTGATAGGTATATACCTGTATTTCACTAGAAGTGGGTGAGCACTGCAAGACAATATTAAGGACTACTGATGGGATTGGCAAATGGGATTGTGTATTTGTCTGGGATATAACTTCTTCCTAGAAGCTAAACCAGAGGATAAATGTGGAGGTAATATCCAGCATCAGGCAGATGACACAGCAAGGCATGAACCTCCTCAGCAGCTCAGGCTGTTTGACTTGGGTGAAGAGACCTGAGGTGCACAAATAACATAACATGTAATAGCAGAAATCAGCAAACATGATTGTCTCCTTTTGGAAACACTTTTCCTCTCAGCCCATGAACACAAAACTGGGGACTCCCTGATACCTAGACATGGTCTTCATTTGACTAATCCAGCTACTGTAGAATCAACAATTTATCTCCTGCATTTACATGAAGCAAATTAGACACAGATTAATTTGGAACAAGGGTGGGCTAGCAATGGGACAAAATACTGCAAGCAATTCTGTGCTGCAGGACTATTTCCAGATTGCTTTGAGCACAAAGGCTGCCCAGGAGCTCATCACTTGGAGGCAGGCAGGAGGCTTGGGGCCCCACCAGTGTAAAACACTGAGTTCCTCCACCACTGGTATTCATGGAATCTCCCCCAGTCCCACATGTTAATGCCATTTGGATAAAATGTGACTGTGAAGTTATCTTAAATTCCACAGGAAAGTTGATGAAAACCATCATTTAAAACATCCTTATGAAGCATTGGTTAAACAGTGGATTTGGGAAGGGAGAGAGATTTTGGAAAAAAACTCTCCTGCACGTAAGAACGTGGAGTAATTCCCATACACACACACACACACAGAGCTACACACTGTGGTGTGAGAGCACAGGGAGTTTCAGCATCACCTTGCCTTGAGTCCTGAAGAATTTAAATAATTGCTTTGGTTCTTAAAGGCATACAGAGCTGTGGCTGCAGTGCTTGGAGTTCACTATGAGCTGAGCTGGAATGGTGTGTCAGCTAACTACAGACACATTTCCACATTTCCTCAGTTTTCCTTGGAGTATGAGCAGGGCAAACTCAAAAATCTGCCTGCAAAATCCCTGGAAGAAACCATCTTAAAATGTATAGCCCTTACACAACCCAAAGCTTAAATAACCCACTTCTACAATCATTTATACACATGCTTATCTCCACAGACAACTGAAAAGTAGAACAGCTCCCCACAAACAGGAAGAAAAGCCTGTGGAAAAAATCCTTGCAGGACTGGGGCACCAGCCTGTGGGAGCCAGAGGCCTCTGCTGGATGGCAGGAAGGTTCTTGGCATGCTGCAGGTGCAATGCAAAGCACCACCAAAGTCAAACCTTCCTATAAACACTGGTTAGAACTATTTCATTATTCAGGTCTCAGGAAAGCTGGGGAGTCAAACATCTCCTTTTTGACAGGAGAAAATGTGAAAATCCCACACTGCCTTTTTCCTGGATTGGATGCTGGGAACTTCCAGACAAAACCCTGTATAATGCATTGGCTTTGAGACTTTTTTTTTCCTCATTTTCTAGAATCACAATCATAGAATGGCCTGGGTTGGAAGAGATCTTAAAGATCATCTCATTCTAAGTCCCTGCCAAGGGCGGGGACCACTTCACCACTTCCCCTAGATCAGATTGTTCAGAGGATGCACAAAAAGCATCTCTTGCAGTTATTTTTTTTCCACAGGGAACAATCAACAGCTCTAAACCCAATTCCAAATGCAGTTTGGTTCAAGTTTCAAAAAGCTCTTATGTTCTGTGTGTCTGTGGGTGTGCACATTTTCCTTTAGCGTGGCTGCAGCACCGCATTGGAAGGGCTACATTTAATTTTTTCTTTTTTAATCTCCAAGGCAGTTATCTCTGACTTGAGATAAGTGTCTCAGTGAGTGTGTCACAGGACAACATTTCTTGCAGGGATTGCACAAATAAGCCTCCAGCCTCTTGCCTTAACAAGCTATGCGACCCAGTGATGTTCAGCATGGCACTCCTTGTGTTTTATTGCTGGCTGCAAAGATTTGTTTTGAGCCTCTTTCAGTGCTAAAGGTCTTTATTGCTAAACAGCCCTTGCTGTTGAGAAATACATGAATTTAATGTACTCATACTGCAATGCCTGCTTGGAAGGTCGTGGAAATTCAACTTAAAACTGCAATCATCTCTTTCTTCTCCTCTTTTTCATTCTGTCTGAGTTTTCTTTTTGCTGTTTGTAAACCACTTCCTGAGCTAGCTCCTGTGCTGCAGCAGCACTTAATGAAGCAGGCAGTCACCTCAGTGCTGCTCAGGCACATGAAAGGGATGGTCTGCAGGAGGAAGGGGCAGTGGCAAGTCTCATAAAAGCAGCATCCCCCTTGTGCTGCTTTGACAAGATGTGAACTAGTTCCATTCATCCTGAGCAAGTTATTAATAATCAAAATCCATCCACAGAAGAAAGCAGTGCTAGCAACACTCTCCTTGGCTGTTCGGCAAGATGCCTGTAGGGAGGACACGGAAGAATCTTGTGAAGAAGAGCACCAAAGCCCATCCTGGACTATTTCATACCTGGAAGAGGTTAAGGCAGGTTTCTGGAGGGCCTGTCTTTGGAGAGGAAATAGAAATCAGGCTTTTGAACATTCTGCATCAAAGCTCTCTTGCCTGTGCCACTGTTGCCTCTGTACCTTTTGCTAGGAAACAAAAAGCTTCCATGACAGCTACCAGCCGTTCCAGGAGTGAGCTCTCTTACTACACTGGGAGAGAAGTTCTGAGTATGAAAATGTGTCTGTGAATTTTTAAATAAGTCTGGCACCTTTCACGTTGCTTTTCAGCAAGCACTCTCCACCTCCAGCAGGAGCTCTGACAGTTTACTGGGAGCAAATCCTGTGCTGTATTCTGGAAGTACATTTGCAGTTTTATGGTCCAAGGTATTTCATTTTTCTCCCTGGTGTTTCTGGTGCTGGCATCTGGGATA